TGGCACATCATTTTGTAGAATCAGAAAAGGAAAATAAAGGCGTTAACAATTTTTCTGAAACCAAAATTTTCTATCACGGAATTAAACCAGAAAAAACTTTTATTAAGTTGTTATTATGAAATTAAATGTGACTTGGCAGCACTGGATAATATTAGATTTCGCTTCAATGCAACAGCGTTGGCGCAGCATACAGCGTTGTAACCTGCTCATGCGCAGTTTGGTTGTATTGGTCGTCGTGCTACTGGGTTTGCGGCTGTTTTCTTCCTTGTTGCGTATTTTTAATGTTCTAGGACGCATAAATATGCGGAAAATATGGTGTGAACATACCAAAATAACTTTTGTTAAATCTGTGGTAGTTATATGCTTGTAAACCAAAGGCAAACTATAACTTCTTTGGTGAAAAATGTGTACCACGCTTAGTTTGCGTTGAACCATTCAGAAACTGGCAAAAAGATAGGAAGAAATGTTTAATATTTGGTGTTCCGATGGTATGGCGAGAGCCTTGGAATCACAGTGATCGTCGTTATTTTTGTTCGTGTAATGTTCAAGGATTCGACAGAAAAAATAAGAAACAAATTGTGTATCCCAATCTTGACTCTGCTATTCGACTGGCAACAAAAACTTATTAGGGGATAGTTTAGCTGACCCCAAAAAAGTTTTAGTGCTTGATCTTCATATGAAACTTGGCTTGATGAAACAGTTTGTTAAAGCCCTAGACAAAAATGTGCAATGTTTCAAATATGGATGCCAGAAATTTCCAGCCATATCTGATGCCAACATAAAAGAAGGTATTTTTGTTGGGTCGCAGATAACAACATTAGACAAAAGCAACGATTTTCTAACACAATGACCAATGAACTTCAAGGACGAAAACTAGGAAAGCATTGTTCAAAATATGTTACAACACTTTCATCTTCTAAGTTGAAATATGAGTTTCAAAGTACATTTTCTGTATTCACATTTGAAGTATTTTTATGAAAATCTTGGAGTAGTTAGCCAAGAACAGGGAGAGAGGTTTCACCATTACATTAAGGAAGTGGACCGGCGATACCAAGGCAGATGGAGCATAACGATGATAACGGGATAAGCCCTTAAAAACACACAGCCGAATGTCCGGATAACACAGCTTTATGGCACTAAAAAAAGTCTCAGTAATTTTTTTTTACTTGTTTTAACTTTTTTACTGAACCAAAAATAAATTGTTTTAGAAATATCGATTTTTTTTTTAATATTTGCAAAAAACCTTACGTAATACAAATAAATGGATAGAATTTTTGAAATTGCCTATCAATATTATATAAAATCAGGTTTCAAAATAAAAACATCTGTCAAAAAGTTTAATTTTTTTATTTCCTAGTCACTATAGGCAGGTAGCACACATACTTCCAACTTAAAAGCTGCTCTCTCGAAAAATTTTAAAAGTGAGACTTAATACCGTTTGAAGTAAGGAGAAGGAGTCCTTTAGGTCCTTAATACGACCTACTTTTGACATATTTGGTTGTTTTATTGTTTGTTTTGTTAAGTTGATGGTCGCCAGATAGTCGAAGATGGTCGCCAAATGACAGTTCCTTGGCAATCAGAAGTTAACCGGCAATCCGCTACTAGGTAGACAGCAATACTTATGTTTTAAATCACAAGAATGTAGATTATAACGCCAAATTTTTATTGTAGTTGCTTTTACTGGGCCGAAACGAATTAACGAAATTAACGAAGCGTATTAAACGTGTTTTGACGGGGAGAGAAATATAAAAAAATAAACGGGGCGGCACGAACAACGTCGTCAAAGCTTTTTTTTATATATCCGAAAATGTTAATAAATCCAGAACGATACCGAGCAAAGCGGCATTTTCTTTTACATTTCGTTTGTTTTCCGAACGGTAATTAAAGTGCGTCTTTTGTTTTGGGGCTTTTATTGTTTAAAATATACGAAACTAACGAAAACTCTATTGCTTTTTTAACTAGTTTTTGAAAACTTTAACTTAAAAATATTGATGCGCTTTGGTACCTAAAAGATGTGCACTAAATGTCACAGTCAAAATTTAAGCAACATTAAAATTTTGAAAACAAAAAATTTTGCGGGTGACGCTTAGATGAAATTTTTCTCTTAAAAATACTTGAGTAATTGTTGTTTCGTACAAGATACCCTGTATAAGTAAATTCTGTACTACGTACTCTGCCTTCTAGACGCAAAATAACGAAAAATTAAAATTGACCGGTTAAGCCAAATAAAACTCTATGATTGTTGACTAATGTTGGGAGATATCGTCCTCTAACATGTTATATCTCTGAAGGAAAGAATAGGAAAAAAACAACAGATTGAAAAATCGTTGTACAATTTTTTCATATCCCTGAATAATCCAAACATAGAAATTCTTTAATTTTAGGGGAACAGAAATGTTGTGAATAGGTAACGAAATTGTTTTTCTAATATACTAACGCTAGTATTTTGTAGATTTGTACTTGCCCGGAAAAAATATATTTTTATGGGTAAAATGCAAGATTTGTTTTTTGTCTTTTGCGCATATTCTCGATATATTTACTACTGAATTAATCTCTAGGCGACAACCCTAAACAAATTCCATACTGCCAATGCCAATTTCGATTCAAATAGATCCGTTTCACGTTCCTAACAGAATATTTATTCGACTATTTAGAGTCTAAATTTTAGACTAACAAAACCTTTCGTTCAACAATTTGTGGGTGTGACCACTTAGTATAACAACGTATTATTCCAAAAGTCCAAAAGCCCTAATTTTCTATACATTCTATATTCCATATTGCGAAGAAACCCTGTCCTGAAAATTGTTTTTAATTGATATTTTCAAAACAAGTTGACATAAAGTTCATAAATTTTAACGTTTTTATTTGGTCAGGGACGTAACTTTTAAGGTGTGCAAAACTGCAATCACTTCTTGGTGAGTTGACTTTTAGACTTTTTTTTTATAAAATCGGGAAAGTTGTGAGAAAATGATTGATATCGCTGGGATTCATCATTGATGAGATATTTTGTTGTCCTTTTGACATTTATGATGTTTTGGTTCAAATGCTCTCTGAAGGGTTTTTTAATTTGATTTTTTGTAAGCATGAAGCGTTTTTCGGTATTTACGGTTCTTGCAATGCTGTCGCTATTCGGAAGTAAATACGAAACCACAAAGACGACAACCGCATGGGGGAGAACATTTTCTGACAATCTATATGCACTGTGAACTATGGAGGTAGTCTTTAATTTCGTTGATGTAAAGAGATTTTTATTACTAATTCTTATTAAATTATAAAAATTAAATAAACATCGCAAAATATTATTTTAAATGTTTAAAATAACAATTTAAACATGTTATAGATATAAAACAAACAAATTGTAAAGAAAGTCCTTTCCTTCTGTTAACGCGATCAATGCACGCACATGCAATATTAATATAATAGGTTTTCCTATAAAATATAATATTTATAATATCAGTCTTACTTAAAATAATGCCTTTGCCTAGGTTTGGATAATAAAATTAAAGGAAACTATTAAGAACGTTTAGGTGTGATCTTTCACCTTTTCTTGGTTGCACTATTTAGTAATGCTTAATTTTATACACTCCATATATTATCATATATATACCACATTGCTCGTATGCTTATAAAATGTTAAAGAAATCTTTTAGAAGTAACAACCGACCACTCATAAAATATATACGTTCAAGTCTGACTAATGTAATCGTCTTATTATTATACGAGAACGGAAAACGTCATTTTGTAATTAGCAAGTGATAATTTATTTTGAACATAATTCCGTTTAATACAAATACGCAATACATTAAATATAGGAAAAAAGAAAATTGTTGATGTTTCAAAATATTTTCAAACATACGTAAAATGTTATATTTTGATTAGCTAAATTGTAGAAAAGAGATGTTTTATTACAAGGTAATTTCTTCGCATTTTTTTCTGAGACTTAGTTAATTAGACGTCACAAACGGATAATAATTTATTGCAAAATACATATTATTATTAAATATTAATAGGTAAAATTCTACAATTGCAAGATGTTATTTAAAACATTTTGATCGAATTTGACTAGTGAATTGACCAGCCCCAACACTAATAATAGTACGGAATTTGCGATATTAGTTCTGTTTATTGGGTAACTATACAGGAACATAATAAAAATTATTAAACTTCCGAGAATCCCGGGACATTTCGCGGGCTTATTAATTTTTCGGAATTAGATACAACCCTAAGTGAGCACCAAAAAATTCTTCGATATCTAAGGGCACTGATGGTTGATCATGGACAAATAATTGTATATAGTGATACTGATATATTATGTGAATAATTTGGAGTAATTTAAGTAGGTAATAAAAATAATTTGTAATTTTATTTTAGATTTAAAAATAAATACATACATAAATAAATAAATATTGTTTAGTATTTTTCCTAACGAAACCCCAAATAATTAAATTCTAAGCAAAGTACGGACCTGATCGATTCCATTCTTACAGCTTGCCCGGGTCTTTCTTTAATTCGTATCACTTTCTTATATCTATGAACCATATTTTGTATTTGGCACATCAATAAATGTATTTATTATTATTATAATAATTAGGGTACTCCCTAGTGAATTAGTTGTCGCAAAAATTGTAAAAGGAATTTGACAATTGTCCTTTTTTAAGCAATATGTATTTTCAGTCTTCTTTGAAATAGCACACATGCTATTTTGTGATCAATAATTTTTTTTAAAACAATAGAGAAGTAGGTGTATCAATTCGCGTCCGATTATTCGGAGTTTTTTTAAGTTAATATGTAAATTTTGCAATAAATGTATTCATTATTATTATTATAGAATGCTTTCTGTTCTGTGAAACGGAGACATCTCTTGATTTTTTTCACGCCTAACGGAATACCAACCCGTCTCTTTTTTATATTTAACCGCGATTATTCCTCGTAGACGTCGACGTCTTTATAATTATCGCCGCCAGACCGATTGTTGTTAATTTTAAACCGACGAAGTGGGCTCGACCCGCTCAGTGTTGGTCGGTCGGTTGAACGGCACGATGTTGCAACGTCGCCGTTTCGCCTTCCGCGTATTCGACAATTAATCTCTGATAATGCTTATCATCTGCCACGTTATCAGATCGTCGTTCGCCAGCAGATTATTTTTAAACATGGTTATCTGCGGTTCGGTAAAAGTCGCAGCTCCCCTGTTTGGAAACTTTCTCAGGTGAGTTTTTCCGCCTTCCCCGTGAAAACACGGGGTCCATTTTTCATTTATCAGATTTCGTTTTCGTCGCGGTTAAGAGTCTGTGGATTTCGATCGTTCGCCTTGTATGTGTACAGAGTGAGTCAACGATAGAGATCAAACCTTTCATTAAACATGAAGAGATTGTCTAGTCGATATACGTCTTTTAGGGTAGTTCGCCTAAATTCGACAAAAATTTATGCGAACAACAAATGTGATTTCGTGAGGGACTAGGGGCTAGAAAAGTTCTTCTGCAGAAGTGTAGAGACTAGAGGAAGAAAGTGTACATGTGTTTCGCAGATTACACAAAAGCCTTTGATTGCATCAAGCAAAAGAAATTACTAAGCATTTTTAAAAGTGGAGGCCTAGACTCTCCAGATTTTAAAATTATCCAAAAGATTTATGAACATCAAGTGCCGTCAATAAGACTAGAAGGCTCCGAAACAACAACGATACCCATAAAACATGGAGTTAGACAAGGGTGTGTGCTGAGTCCTATGCTTTTTAATATGTTCTCGGAGTTGATATTTCAAAATGCACTCGAGTTGGCAGAGGACGGAATAGTGAAAATGGTAGAGATACGCCGATGACACATTGGTGGCAGCTCTGAAGGCCTACGAAGGCTGCTAGTTAAGATCTCCACTGTAAGCGACTCGACGGACCTTAAGATAAATACAAAAAAGACAAAGGTTATGGTAATAAATCGTGGCCCATCCGTAACTGTAGATGGAACGCCAACAGCAAGAGTTTCGAAGTTCAGATATTTGGGAAGTTGGACCAGTGAAGTCCTAAATCCCCATGTACAAATAAGAGCAAGTATGGAAATGGCAAGAAGAAATTTCCTAAATATGCAAAACTTCATCAAATGCTACGTACACTTCTTTACGGTGTTGAGTAATGGACATTAAAAGTGAACACAATAAATAAGCTGGAAGGGTTTGAGATGTGGGTGTATCGCAGAATGTTAACGATATTATGGAGTTATCGCGTTTCAAATTTGGAAGTTCTACATCGATTGAATAAGTAACGGAAGCTTCTCGGTACATTGAAAAAAAGAAAAACAGCGTACAATTTCCCTCAACTCATAATATAAGGAAAGATAGAGGGAAAACGCGGTCCGGACGTCGACAATGCTCTCGGCTGAAGAACATCAGAGACTGGACTGGTTTGGACTCGTTTACTTTGAACACCCTGTAGCATCTAATTGAAATTCCGTTATCTATATCTTTTACGCCATCTTCGAATAACGCTAATATCAAACGTTATAACTAGTATTATTTTAAGAAAAGTTCAAAAAGAATTCAAAACAAAATTTAAAAATAAGGTGCTCCCATAAACAAATGTATGTTTAAGTTGACACGCTTTTTTGAGCCGTCCTGTATATTTTAAAATGCCATAACTTTTGAAACCAATGAGATAATGAACTTTATTTACCTTGTACAAATACGATCGATTTGTTTAGCGTTTTACAATTTTTACGCTTCATCGGTGACCTAATCGTCAATCATGTTTATTTTTTACACTTGTTGGGGGGGGGGGGGCTTGATAAACATTTGGTCTGCTATTGTTGATCAAAACTGCCAACTACCAATTATTTTATTATGAGATCTAAGAAAAACAATGGAACAACGTTGTGCTCCTCCACACATTTTTTAAAAAGACGTCAATACATGTTTCTAGCACTCAAGCGATCATCTTCAGCCTAAAATAATATATTTGGAATGTCTGGGGAGTAACTAACCAAACGGTACACCGATAAGTAAAAACTTTCTAATAATATAGGAAATAAAACAGCATCCAACACTACGAACTAAAAGCGCTTCAGAGGGACGCCATCTTGAGCTAGAATCCACTGGTGGAAAGCAAATAATTGTTAAGTGGCATCTAAACTAGCCTGGGAAGGATTGAATGTTTGTAGTAGATTTATTTACTTCTAATTACGCTATGTGAGTCGCAGTTATTGTTTTGATGCAACCAAAAAAGAGACTTTGGCGTGGAACCAGAATAAAGAAACAACTTGAAGCTGTCAGGGAATAGAAAGAAGAAATGGTCTATGGTGTGAACACGAAATCTCTTCCAATTCACTATCTCTGTTTCAGAAATGAGTTGCCGTTAACCTAGAGCCACAAAATAAGAAAAAAGAACAAGTAATTTTTGTTAATACAGAGTGTTTCAAAAAACATACAGCAACGCTGCCTTTTATAGCAGAGTGCGAAAATTATTACAACGCTACATGGTAAGTTCAAAGGGTCAAAAAAAAATTGTCAGTTTTCGTGATTTTTATTTTTTTGCTCGAAGCACGATATGAAAATAACTCAAGAGTCAAAAAAGTTGCACTTTTACTGACTTACAAAAAATAAATAATAATGATTTTAAAAAATACCGTTTTTTAAATATTTAAAATTCTGTATCTTGGATACTTATCAGTTTCAGACCTGCGTTGACAAATTGACACTATTAAGTAGTACAAATTAAACTACTAATCAAAATATTTTGATGAAACGTACAGAATTAATTAGGAAATATTAAATCTCATCATATCATTTAGATGTTTCTTAGCAACTATTATATATATACTTTTGCCGCACATTTTTTAAATTGCGCCCTGGAATTACTAAAATGTCTTCAGTTAAACAGCTAAAACATTCCATGGGGGGTAAGCAACCAATTATACACTTGCGCTTTTGACTCGGAAATGTTTACTCTTGTAATTTTTGAATTGTGATGATTTTACTCACTATTTTGGGTGGCATTCGTTTCGGACTATCGACTGCGGAAAAATGTATTTGTGCTCTTCAGAAAGTAGGAAAATTAAATAAAAAATGCGAAATAATGAGCTTAAATTATAAGTGCGTAATTATCATTGAAATTGAATAGCACGTTTCCGATAGAAATAAAAGGCCCGTCCCGCGTAATGCGAAATTAATGAATTTCTGCGTAACTACGGTATAATAAACAACAAATGTCAAACGAATTAATTTAATTTCGATGTTTGTCCGTAGGCAACCTGTGATGCATTAATTTCCAGAACGGCCCTAGCGCGTCGGTTTTTTTTTTAAACGGGAGCGCAGTTGATACGGACGGGCATAAAAAATACGCAAAAGTGAATTATTCGCGTTAACGTTTGGGGGGTGGGGGGGACCACGTTATAAATTTGGCGCTAACGTAGTCTATACTCCGTGGCGTTCGAATTCACTTAATGGAAAAACCGCGGGTTCGATTCAATTCGGGATATTTTTGCGGAGTTAAAAATGTTAAATAACTTTGGCCTCGCGTAAAATTAACGCCAGATCGTTATGCCTTGAACTTAAACACGAAATATATCTCGCTAATGAGACAAAATTCGACTTTGCACCCGCTACAGTCAATTCAATTTAATTCGAAATGTAACCGGCACATTGCTCAATTTCACCGGGCACTCCAGAATTTGTAATTTATTTTACAAAAAATAAGAATTTATATAAAAGAAATTAATTCAGGCAAAACGTAGCCGCCGGCATATTGCTAATTCCGCCTTGGCATAAAAAGTAGAAAATTATATAAAAGCTGCAATTGCTTGCTTGCTGTTCTGATTTTTTATATTATTTTTCAAAAAATAGAATTTTTAATTTCGATTCAATTGACTTTACATCAATTTAATTCATTACAAATGTACCTCTTACATCGCTTACTTTGGCTTTGCATTCCCGATTTTGTATGTTATTTTTCAAAAGATATAAATTTATATAAAAAAACTTTAATTCAATCAAAATATAACTAACTCCGCTTTGACACTCACGCAATTTTATTTTATTTCACAAAAAGTAAAAAATAAATAAATAAAAAATTAATTTTGATTCAATTAAATCTAATTTAGTCAAAATGTAGCTGACACATTGCTTGCTCCCAGATTGCACTTCTGAATTCTATTTTATCTTACAAAAAAGAGAAAATTATGTTTTTAAAAAGTAAACGTTAATTTAATTTTAATTTCAATTTTTGCAAAAATAAAAAATTATATTAAAAAGTTTCGTTCAGTCCAGATGTACTTAACTCTACTTTGTACATAAAAAATTAATTTCGATTCAATTTGATGTAATTTAGTCAAAATGTAGCTGGCATATTGCTTACTTTTCTGATTTTTTATTTTATTTTACAAAAAATAGAGAATTCAACTTTAAAAAAGTAACCGACTTTTTAATTACAATTCAATTTAATTTAAATCAATTTAATTCATTAAAAATGTACCTCTTACACCGCTTACTTTGACTTTGCATTCGCGAATTTGTATTTTATTTTTCAAAAAATATAAATGTATAAAAAAAAACTTTAATTCAGTCAAAATATAGCTAACTCTGCTTTGGCATTCGCACAATTTTATTTAATTTCACAAAAAGTAGAAAATTATATAAAAAATATAAATAAAAAATTTATTTCGATTCAATTTAATCTAATTTAGTTAAAATGTAGCTGACACATTGCTTGCTCTCAGATTGCACTTCTGAATTCTATTTTATCTTTAATAAAATAGAAAATTATATTTAAAAAAAATAAACGTTAATTTAATTTCAATCATAAATAAATGTAATTCAGTCAAAATGTACCTAACTCTACTAACTCTCTAACTAAAAGTAGAAAATGATACAAAAAACGTAAATAAAAATTTAATTTCGATTCAATTTAATGTAATTTAGTCAAAATGTAGCTGACAAATTGCTTGCTCTCAGTTTGCACTTCTGAATTTCTATTTTATTTTACAAAAAAACAGAAAATTATATTTCAAAAAAGTATGCTTAAATTTTATTTCGATTCAATTTACTTCAAATCAATTTAATTAATTGAAAATGTACCTGACATTGACTCTGACTTTGCGAACAAATAAGAATTATATACAAAAAATTAATTCAGTCAAAATCTGCCCAACTCTGCTTTGGCATTTTTATTTAATTTCAAAAAAAGTAGAAAATGATACAAAAAATGTAAATAAATAGATAATTTAGATTCAATTTAATCCAATATAGCCAAAATGTTACTGGTACATCAGCTCTCGGTTTGCACTTCTGAATTTTTTATTTTATTTTACAAAAAATGGAAAATCATATAAAAAAACTAATTCAGTCAAATATCGACTATCGAATATTGATTTTCTTTGAAGAATTATAGATAATAAAAAATGTAAATGTAAATTTAATTCAATTTAAATAAATTTCAAATCAATTTGTAGTCAAAATTTAGCTGGCACAGCCTTTGAATTCGAAAATTATTAGTTTTTAAACGCATTGAATATTAGAGAAAAAAATGTAATGACTGCATAAAACACCTCTTAAAATAGCTGCAAGTAATTATTGAGAAAAACCGACGAATTAAGTGAAACGGATATTTAACTACAGCATTTTAGCCCATAAAACGATTATTATTTTCAAGTATATTATCACATAAAAAAGGTAACAAAAATCATATCATGTTAGTATCACGGAAAAAGGTAAACAAATATTCGGTGTTATAATCAGGATATTTTTTAGAGTACGGGCCTGGTTTCTTGATCATTTGACAACCAACTACACTGGCACCCTGCAGCTCTACGCAGGTACACAGGTCATTAAGCCATCGTAAACTTACGGATGAATAAATACTGATCTTTCTTGAATTTGTAGACACTGTATGTAGAAATTGTCGTAAAGTTTTGAATAACTCTGTCGACAACGATATTGGGCAAGTGCGGACGGGCCTTAAGCGCGAGCTTTTCATATTATCGATATCTCGCTCCTACTCAAACAATTGGAAGCACGGCCCGGTTATCTCCCTTATCTAAAAGATACAAAACTCGACCGACTTATTTGTAACAGTAAATTCCAACCCGATTAGTCAACCGTATTTTTACGCTTCTTCTTGCAGACGACGATGGGCAGCCAACACTCCAAGCCTGAAGACAGGCTCCAACACATAAACCGCGAGGTGGCGGCACTGCGGACCACCTTGCGGAACTCCAGACGTAACCTGTCCAAGCAGAGAAGAGATTCCATTGTCGAATCGCTAGCGTTTCACTCCAACGAGGTCAAAGCCCTTACCGGGAAGACGAAACAGAAGAAAATCAATGAAACGCTTAGAAATCTATCAGACGCGATGCAGGACGTGCTTTCCATCGAGCCGGGAGACAACGATTTGGACATGGGCGCCGTCGAAAGCGATTCTTTCGTCCAAATGCCCTTGAGTAAGAGATCGGTGACGTCCGGGTCGTCGGTCAAGTCAGTCAAGGTCAGCAAAAGGCTTCAGCAAGTGATTAAGAGTCAGCCGGTCACTCTCGGCGACGTGGAAGCGAAACTGCAAGACTTGAAGGTCAAAATAAGCACTGCCGTGGACAACAAAGATACTAAGCAGCTCAGGGTTTATCAGCAGACCTTGAAGGTGTTGGCCGGAGATTTGGAGATGATCCAGACGATCGCCGGGACGTCCGCGCATGAACTGAAGGACAAATTAACCAAAGTACTTACTAGTAGATACCAAAAGGTGTCGAAAGCTTTGAGAGAGTCGAGCCTGCAAAACGTACAAAGGCAGTCGAAGAATAAAGAGAAAACGTTGACAGAGCTGAACGATATAGAGCTCAAGTTGGCGGAGAACGAGTCGTTGATCGACAAAATGGCTACCGACAACAACGCGGTGGATTATTCGGTAATACGCGAAAACCTGCTGAAAATTAATGAAAAAATTAGGGCGGTCCAGCCGACAGATTCCGAAGACAAGGAGAGGGTGCTTTTGCTGTCTCACAAGTTCACAGAGATTGTTAAAAACCACGAAAACCTCATGGCTAAGAAAGACTTCGCTAACAGCTTGAACCAGGCATCGAACAAATTCCAGAAGCTCGTCGCGCCGGACCAGGCCGCAGACAAAGCCAGGCTGAAGAAGGACTTGTTGGCGTTGAAAGACTCGGTCGGTAACTTGGAAGGCTACGACAACACCGAGAAAAGCGCGAAGACCAATTTGTTGTCTCAAATAAACAAAAGCGTGTCAGATATAGAATCGGCCATCAAAATGGAAGAAGATCAGAAGACGATCCAGCAGATAGTAGAGGATAGCGTGGTGCTCCGGAAGAAAGTTAAGAGCAGTGATAAAAAGCACACGGTCATCGATCAGTTTTGGAACTATTGGAACAATGTGCGTAACAATTTCAACTTGAACTCGTACTCGAACCTGTCGCTCATAAGGCTGGACGGTATGCTGGAGGAAATGCAAATGTCGATTAACGACATTCGGGACGGCATAGCCACCAAGTGCGACTTACGGAGCAATTTGAACAAGAAGCAGTCCCAATCGGTACCCAAATTGACCTTGAACAAGCACTCATACGGGAGCAACAACAGCCTACACCAAGTCGACGGAAACAGCAAGCTCATTAAGACCAAAGTGAGGCTGTACCATCTATCCACCCCTGAGCTGTTGACCGTGGACCCGTCGGGACTGGAAAACCAGCAGCACAAGAGGTTTTCGAAAATAGAGGAAATTAAAAGACAGGTATACTATTTGAAGGAGAAAGTGGACGAAAGTCACAACAAGAACTTGATAAAAGAAAAACTCGAATCCTATCTTAAAACTTTGAGCCCGTTCTTGGCAGATTCCAACGCTACCGTGGCCAAAAACGCGAACATCGTATCCAGCGACATCCACGAGCTGATACATAAACTTTATGTCGTCGACATCCGTCAAAGAGTGAACATTTTAAGCAAAAAAGTGGAAAACTTCAGCGGAAATAAGTACAATAAGGATTTCGAAGACATACAGGCCGACCTTTTCAAGGTGCAAGTTAGTTTGCAATCGTTGACCATTCCGCCTTGCTACGACCAATTACAAAAGGAAAGGAGCGACTTGCTGGACGAAATTTATTACCATCTCAACAAGTTACAAGAGAAGTCCACTTATTACAGAGAGTACGACGAAAACGTTAAACAGATACGCGATAAGTTGGCCAGCGTCAAGGACATGGTGGGTAGATTTTCTGGGACGTACAAAAGCGTGCTTTACAACAAGATAGAGCGCGACCTGAACAAGATTCTACTCGAGATTGAGTCGATAGATGACAAAAACGCAACGGATGAAATAACGGCGGAGGTGGAGAAGAATTTGAAGATTCTGGAGCAGCGGGCGTCGAAAGCGCAAAGCTTTAGAAAACCAGGCGACGAAAACGTATCCCCCACTCTTAAAATCAAGGAAAATTTGAGTAGCATAAGAGAACAGATCGACAAAACTCCGGTACAAGACGTCAAGGCCTTGATAGGGTTGCAGGGGCGCTTAGATCTGGTAAAACTGGAACTGGACCAGATTTCGTCCAAGTCAAACGAGCGGTTGGAAAAGGAGAAGGAGATTTTCTACAACGAAGCGCAGAGTCTGAAAAACGTGGTGGAAGCCAAGCTGACTCTTGGCCAGCAACCTCTCTACCTCTGGTCTGATTCGGTAGATGCGAGCAGCTTCCGACAGTCTGAAATCACAAAGGAGATGGAGCACTATCAAAACAAATTCAAAAAAGTTAAAGACCAAATTTCCTCAATGAACAGTCCCGATTACGACTATAGCTACACCCATCTGGTTGATGAACTAGACGAACTGATCCGGCAAGTTGGAAGTTTCGAGTTCGTACGAGGTATCGACTTGGACATACAGAAAGGTAGCATGCTAGCTGAGATGCAATATTACAAGGACGTACTAGAAAAGCGAGCTAAGGACACGGACAATTTGTCGACGGCGGAGACTAAGCTAGAGCACATGGAGAGCCTTTTGAACAACCATAGTTCGGAAGACCTAAACCAAATGCTCAAAGACCTGGAGTCCATACAGAACAACCTTAATCCGGCGAAAATGAGCGTAAAGAAAAGTAAGTGCCAGGCTAAAGCTAACGAGCTCGTTCGGCAAGTTCAAGCGCAGCTAAAATCAGAACAGAAAGACTCGAAACAAACGGAAGCGATAAAAAAGATGAACGACATTGCCGAAAAATTCAAAGCGATTAAACCCGAAATAAAATCCTTTGTAGGCGTTCAGTCGGACAGCAAATTCTACGAGCTGGACGAGACCACAATGAGGCTGATTCTGGTATTGGAGAAGCTGGACTTTGATACCGCCGAGCTCAAGAAGCGTAAGATTGAACTTCTCAAAGAAATGCATAATTACGGGCAAATTTTGGACGAACGTGCTGGTCAGACCGAAGACCTGGTTGAGTTAGAACAGAACTTGGATAGTTTCTCGGCACTGATGGATGCTTATTCGGGTGCGGAGGAGCAATATGACCAAATTAAGGCCACCATGGAAGAGACGAGGAAAAAAGTGAATTCATTGAGAGTCAACAATGATTTGGTGATGAGAAAGAACGCTTGTTTGGAAAGGTTCAGCGTCCTCTTTAACAGGTTCTTGTCGCTTCGCAGTTCGCTGTCTAGGCCACAGTCCAAGACGGATAAGGCGAAAGGCTATGTGCTGCAGACGTTCAACAGCATCACAAAATCCAAAATCGCCAACGAGCTAGGCCAGATCGAGAAAGAAATCGATCTCAATAGAGCAAAGGTAAATGACTTTTCGGAGGTGGAAGAGAGCGAGGAGTTTCAGCAGATCGACAACAGCCTGACTAGTCTGACGATCGAGCTGCACAACTTAACCTACCCGAAGAATTCCGACGAGCATAAGAAGAAAATGGAGTTGATGGCGGCCATAGAAGAGGTCACGCTTAGCTTGGAGAAAAGGGCGACCGAAAATGGTATGATAAAAGAGATCGAACGAGAGATCAAGGAGATAGGAGACCAAATGAAGTCGCATTGCTCCGACGAAGAGATTGATTTAATAGATGAAAAGTTGATACAGATTCAGGTTAAGTTGGGAAAGCTAGAAAGGGAAGATTTAAAGTTCCGAAAGGACGCGTGCATGATGAGCATTATCCTGTACCTCAAGCAGATATCCGACTACAAGCAGCAACAGCGCTAGGTTTTTCTTTTAAGTTTAGGCTAGGAGTAATTTATTCTAAATTGTGTTTTGTATTTGTGCAAATAAATATTCGAAAAAACATTGTTGTGGTTTCCGTTTCGCTGTATGTGCGCCTATAAATGCCGATAGCTTTGAAGTGGTTGAAACTAAACGGTTAGATAGATAGATATTATTGTTTGTAGCAAGTCATACAAAGGAAAAAAATAAATTGAATAATAAATAAATAAATAAAATGAAGTATATGCTAACATAAAATTGTATATAACGTCATAATATACTAAATCTAGATATACAATGTATATAACTTCACAATAACAGGACAACAAATAAAAAAATAAATTTATATGTGTATAGTACAGAACAATCATTAAAATACAATCAATGCACAACGCCCCGCAATATGTCATTACCGATGTTTTCTTCAAAAAATTCACCAACGCTATAATATTGGTTAAGGCTTTCGCGGCCCGTTGATAAGCTATTATCTTGATTCGGGTTTAAAGGCCGTCGTCGGTTGGAATTACTTCCTAACGTTTCGCTAGCACGAGTGGCGAGCTCCTTCCATCTCCGATGTTGGACGTAGACTGACGATTTCTCCTGCGCAGGTTGTATTTATGCCGATTGGTGGTGCGCGGTGCTTGTTCCGCTTCGGTTGGTCTCGGGATATCGATCGGTACTGCTCGGGCGTTCCTAAGAATCGGGTTCCAGATTTGGTTGAGTCTAAGGGTCTCCTCCTTTCAGTTGAAATTGTGTGGGTGTTTTGTATCAAAATGACTTCCCTGACTAGTCTGTTGTGATAGCCGTTGACCGATGCTAGTAACTTACAGCTCTCAAAGTGTATCCTGTGTTCCCCGCTGCCCAGTGCGTTTTCAGCTACTGCAGACTTCTCTGTCTGTCCTAGCCTGCAGCATGCTTTATGCTCCTTAAGTCTCGTTCCCATTGATCTCTTGGTAGTTCCGATGTAGACCTTTCCGCATGAACACAGAATGCGGTAGACTCCCGCAGCTGAAAGTGAGTCCCTCTTGTCCTTCGCTGACCTGATGGTCTGCTGGATCTTCTTTGTAGGCTTAAAGATTGTTTTGATGTCGTGTCTTTTCAATACTCTGCCAATCCTGTCGGTGACACTCGGAATATACGGCAGATATGCGTGGGAGGTGGAGGGTCGTTGTTCGGTATCCCGTGATCTTGATGATCTTGAGTTCATTGATCTCTCGATCTCCTTCTCGCTGTAGCCATTTGCCTCGAACGCAGTTTTCAGGTGTTCAAGTGCCATCTGGAGGTTCTCCGGTTCGCAAATCCTTCGGGCTCGTTCTGTCAGGGTTCTGATAACCCCATACTTTTGATTTGGGTGATGGTTGGATAGAGCATGCAGGTATCTGTCCGTATGGGTTGGTTTTCTGTACACTGTGTGGCCCAGCTTGTTACCTCGCTTCCTCACTAGTACGTCTAAGAATGCAAGTTGTTGGTCATTTTCAGTCTCCATAGTAAACTGGATGCTGGGATGCTGACTGTTGAGATGCTACAGAAAGTTGTTGAGCTTGTCCATACCATGTTTCCAGATGACGAAGGTGTCATCCACGTACCGGAACCACGTTGCTGGCTTGTACTCTGAGGTCTCGATCGCTTTTTCCTCAAAGTGTTCCATAAATAAGTTGGCTATAACCGGGCTTAATGGACTTCCCATTGCCACTCCGTCCACCTGTTCGTAGAAGTTTCCCTTCCACATGAAATAGCTACCGGTCAAACACACTTCACAAAGTTTGCAAATATCGACAGGAAATATCCTGTTCACCAGGTCCAAGCAACTCTTCAGAGGTACTTTGGTACACAGTGAGACGACGTCGAAGCTCACAAGGATGTCGTTTTGTTCAATATTGATATCTTGAATCTTGCGCACGAAGTCGGTGGAGTCCTTGATGTAACTGGTGACGTGTCCTACGTGTGGTTGGAGCAGCGATGCCAGGTGTTTAGCCAAGTAATACGTTGGTGATCCGGGACATCTACTTTGTGCATCTTAGGTAGTCCATAGAGCCTTGGTGGAACAGTCTCCGTCCTCACAATGCGCTTCTTGATTTCTTCTGACAGTGATGATGACTTGACGAGCCGGTTGGTAAGACGTAGTCTAGCTTGCGTCGGATCCTTTTTCAGGGATTTGTAGCTTCCCGGGTCCAAGAGTTCCTCAATCTTCCTTTCGTAGTCCTCGGTCTTCAGAAGAACGGTTGCGTTTCCTTTGTCCGCTGGGAGTATGATGATACCCTCATCCGTGTTCAGGCTACGCAGTGCTAGTCCTTCACTTCTCATCAGGTTAGTCTTGGGTGGTTTTGCCTTCCTGAGGATGTTGGCTGTCTCGATTCGTATCTCTTCGGCATCTTGGTCCGGTAGGTTCTTGATGGCCGCTTCCGTGCTGGAGATGATCTCTTCAATCAGAATGTGACGGGGAGGGATTGCGAAGTTCCCTCCTTTGGTTAGCACTGTTATCTCGACCTCCGTGAGTACTCTGTCCGTCATATTGACCACGAGTCGCTCACTGTCTAGGCTGTATCTCGGAAGCAAGAGATTATTTGCACTCCGGGTGTCATATCTATGAGAATCTGAACCCCTCGGCAAACTATCGGTCTTGGAGTGTATCCCAAGAACACTTTGAAATATAAATATATATAGATCCGTCATTATTTTACGTTTAATAAACAATGGCTTACAGTGTACGTTAAAATTTGAATTTGAATCCAGAGTGTCATCCAAGGTAACGCCCAGAATCTTGCATCCCCTGCCACATGTCAACCTACTGCTACTAGACACTAATAAATTCTTCCTTTTAGCATTAAGTTATAGATTATTTGCTGAAAACCATGCTTTAGCCTTAGATAAAGTATATATTTCAATATTACTCGGGGCAGAGATGTTCCTATTTGAATTAATAAACGTTGTGTCGTCAGCAAACAGCACAATCTCAGTATCAGGCATCATCTGGGTCCTTCTCAATAGTCTCGGAGTCTCAGGAGCCCATTTTTTTAACGATTTGCAGGGGTTTTTCAAAAATTCAAAAATAGGCGTCCGAAATTTGAAGCTACTGATTTAAGGTTTGACAAAAACGTACTGCAGAACCCTGTTGAAACTATAGCGAAAACCATTGATCCTATCGAAATAATTTTTGAACCAGGAGACTAGTGAAATCCCGGGCTATAACCGTTTTTCAATATTATACCCGCGAAAAGTAGGGTCATTTGTTTTTTTATGCGTTTACGGTCCGACGACTACAATTTTTGTATTTAAAGTCTTCGTCTCTCGCCTTACAATAAGTTTCGATTTAACTGTTTTTTCGCTTAAATTTGGCACAATTCGTTGTTTGTTGACAATTAAATAGATAAGCGTATAACTGATCGCAGAGGTTTCAACGTTTATCTAATCTTAGTGTCAGAAACGATCTCGCCATACGCGATGTCGCTTTAGTCCGATCGGCAAATTTCAGCAGATTCGCCTGTACTCGGTAAGTTGTTTTCTTCTGTTATCTTCACATTATTTGGTCGAAGGCAATAAATATAAAATCCTAACACAACAACGTGAATCACATAACGTTAACTCGACATGTGATAGTATAAGATCCGAACGAAGGTCGACCTTCACTATTGTGTCAACCAAACAAAAATTTTATTTTTATTTATTTTAATCGTTTTATAGAATAGAATAAGTTTCTGAACTGTTCAAGAATATTTTTAGTTAAAATTGAAAAAATACATGTTTTATTTAAATTTCACCTACCGAACGAAACTACCTCCAGTGGAAAGCCACTATTCACAATATGGCATACCACAGCAGCTTACCTTCTTTTGGACACTATTACTTCGTAGCTGCAGTCATACAGAACATTTGATAATTACACTCTTTAGTCAATCAACCACGTAGTTACTTCTCGTCGTATAAAAGGATACAATCCTAGGATATAGAGCTGTAGAGCAGTGTTTTGACGTATATAAACTAAAAAAAAAAGATAAACGCTTTTGAATATATAAATGAATAATATATTCTTTAAAAAAACTATTAATGCAAATCTATTACAAAAATCAATAATTCTTTAATAAACAATATCTATAACATAGTACAATAAGTGATAATACAAATAACAGTAATAAATTATTCAAGATGAATATCGCCGGAAGTTGCATTATCATCCTCAAGTCAGAAGAACCGTCTTCATTTTCTTTTTCTGTCATCTCTAAAATATAATCTATTTGTAAAGGCGTCTGGTCTCCCTATAATTAATTATTTAATTAATCGCATAAAATACTAGTTGAGAAGAGTTGAAAATTGACTTTCAGGAATTCTCGATTCAGTTGAAATTTCTGACAAAATTTTCTGATGTAAATTAAAAAATATTAACAATATACTCACTTCAAAATCAAAATCCTCATTGTATTTTTTTTAAACAATTACTTTTTGTAACAATCAGAGTGATAACCTTCAAACTGAGTTTTGAGTTAACTCAACGTCATCATATTTAAATACTCATAATCGTCGAAATTACAATTCTAAAGAACAATATTTATAACATTTTTCATTAAAATCATTTACTAAGTGTATTTTTATACAAAAAAAACACTTTTTCTTCTTCATTTGCAATTTTAGAAGCAATAAACAACGTGTTTACAAACAGAATTTATATATTCAAAACACTGCTCTGTAGTAAATTAATTTATCCTGGTTTTTACTAAGCGTGAAGAACATGTGCGCACTCTCTCACAGGTCATTGCGTCTGTGCGCCCCAGCATTGTATCCTTTTCTACGAGGAGGGGTAAATACGTTCCGTCTCTTTCTGTCTTGAACTTTCGCTCGCTCAAAATTCTTTAATTTAAATGCCTTACTAGCATCTATGACCAATTTTTTTGAGGCATCCTTATACCACAGGATTTATGATTAAATTATTTTTAATTTAAGAATAGTCCCGATTGGGTCACAAAAGAGGGCAACTATTAACATCAACTTACCATTTGCTTGCAGCTACTAGGTAATAAGAAGCAAAAAAAAGTAAACTAGGGTGGTGTTGCATATGGTGTATAGTATATAGTTTCCACTAGAGTTAGCATCGTTTGCTACACACACCGGTAAAATTTAAAAAAAAAATGTATTTTTTTATTTTAATTTAAAATAATCTTGAACATTTCCGTTGAGGTTGATATCTCAAGTCATGTTCAGCAACTTATTCTATTTGATAAGATGTTATTTTTATTTGGTCGACACTATGGTGAAGGTTGATTTTAGTTCTGATCTTCTACTATGACTTGTCAAATTAAGGTTATGCGATTCATCTTGTTGTGTAAGGATTTTATATACAACTAGTATCTACGACCAAATTTTTTGAGGCTTCCTTATACTACAAGATTTAAGATTAAATTACTTTTATTTTAAGAATAGTCCCGATTGGGTGACGAAAGAGTGCAATTCTTAACATCAACTTACCTATTTGCTCGCAGCTACTAGGTAATAGGGACCAAAAAAAAGTAAACTAGGCTGGTGTTGCATACGGTGTATAGTATATAGTTTCCACTGGAGTTACTATCGTTTGGTAGACACACCGGTAAAATTTAAAAAAAAAATGTATTTTTTTATTTTAATTAAAAATAATCTTGAACATTTCCGTTGAGCTTGAGATATCAAGTCATGTTCAGAAACTGATTTTATTTGATAAGACGTTATTTTTATTTGGTTGACACTATGGTGAAGGTCGATCTTAATTCAGATCCTCTACTATGACTTGTCGAGTTAAGGTAATGCGATTCATCTTGTTGTGTAAGGATTTTATATACAGCTAGTATCTATGACCAAATTTTTTGAGGCATCCTTATACTACAAGATTTACGATGAAATTACGTTTATTTTAAGAATAGTTCCGATTGGGTGACAAAAGGGTGCAATTCTTAACATCAACTTACCTATTTGCTCGTAGCTACTAAGTAATGGGGACCAAAAAAAAGTAACCTAGTGTGATGTTGCATATGGGGTATAGTATATATTTTTTACTAAAGTTAGTTTCGTTTGGTAGACTCACCGGTAAAATTTAAAAAAATATATATATTTTATTTTAATTAAATAATTTAATTATCTTGAACATTTCCGTTGAAGTTCAGAAACTTATTTGATAAAATGTCATTTTCATCCGCTATGGTAAAACTCGTTCTTAGCTCCGATCTAGACTATCGCGTGGCGATTTTGCTTCTCCCTCTTTGGTTCATGTGACACGTTCGTTTCAGAAATGGGCGGGAACAACTCCAGAGAACGCAAGGGCTCGCTCGCGCTCTTCAACACGATAAACGAGAAAGAGTACCTGTTCATAGCAATGCAGGCGGACGTGGATAAAGCATTCGTCACCAGGGATCGTAAATCGATCGAAACTTTATTTGCGGAAATCACCGGTCACATCCTCGAACTTAAGCAGATCCGAAAATCAGACCTGAGCCCGTCCGATAGAGGTCGTATCGAAAAACTCGTCTACAGTTTCGAAATATCGTTGGCTAAGCTCAAGTCCGTCTACGGTTACCTCACCCTGCCGAAGAAAACCACCGCGAACTCAGTCTTCTACAACGAAACGGTCAACGATTTTAACAACGTCGACAGCGACGAGAACCATTTCAGACCAAGATCGTCTTTACCCAATTCGTTCGACTCTGCCTTGTCCGTGGCCCAGACCATATCGAGGGCTAATTCCCTCTATAACAGGCCACCTTTTCCCGATTCCAGCTTGCTCGATCTCGATCTTAGTCTGGGGTTTGCTCTGTCTACGATAGAAAGCGAATTCGAGTCGCTGAAGATGGTCGCGAGCGAACCGATAGACGACGTGACTCAATATTACCAACTGGATAAGACCGTTTTCTATCTCTGCGCCCAGCTGAACCAATTGCACTGTTCAGCCGAACCCAAACTGGAGACGAAAAAGTTGGAACTGCTCGCCGAGTTAAAGCGCTTCAGGGAGTTGTTGGATAGAAGAGCCGCCGAGCTGGAGGAGATGTTACGTATTGGTACCGACCTCAGAGCTCTGGAAATTCGATTCGACGGATGCTCGATCGCAGACTACCAGTCATTGCTCGACGAGGTTCTGAAACTCCAAGAAAAGCTGGACAACACGTCTTGGGAGGATAACTTGCAGCCGAAGAAACTGGCGGCTCTTGAGAACGTGGAAGGGCTCATCGCGAAGATATCCTACGCAGAATCGGAACAAGTGGTCGACGAGTCGTTCCAGCAGATATACGGCAACGTCGAGGCTTCCTACAAGGCCGGTGGCGGCGGCGCGAGCACCGATTTTACGTACGACATCATCAATAATCTCTCGGCTGTCAAGAGCGGGCCATCATATAGCAGAGCTACTATATATTCCAACGTAGCCATCGTCAGGGAAAACGAAGACGGTACTAGGTCGTACAACGGTGCGAATACCCCCAAGAAACCGCCGTTGCCGCTTCCGCGGAACTACGACGAGAAGGTGATCAACGATTTACCCAAGCACTGGAGGAGGTTGAACGAGATATTTGATAAAAAAGTAATGACGGCGGGGGACGCGTCCGAGGTGGATGAGATCCAGAGACACCTCGAGGTGGCCAAGAACTTGTTCATGAGGAAAATCGGCAAAGTGAACGAGAGGTGCCAAGAGGTTGTGGATTTGTAGGGTTTAGTACGAGATGCTGTGAAGATGTTAATATTAAACGAACTACCGGATGGTCGAGCTTTCTAAAAGCAATAAGAATAATCAATATATCGTTACATTTAAGTTTTTTGGATGCATTGTAAGTACAAAACTAGAAACCAGAAAAGTTAAGCTCTTTTCTTATATCATTCTCCGTATCTTTTTCTCACTTGTTTCAGCTGGCCAGCGAATGTATACACCCAATATGATGTTAACGTTATTTTCCATTTATTATTTTTTTAAATATAAAAATCAACCGATGGCACTATCATGACAGTCATCGTTTGAGATTTTTAATTCGATTTCTTTATCAAGAGTTATATCAGACACTTGAATTTCCGAGAACTGTATAGTTTTGTAAGATCTGCGACAGAGAGAGAGAGAGAGAGAGAGAGAGAGAGAGAGAGAGAGAGAGAGAGAGAGAGAGAGAGAGATAAAAATATTTTGGGGTTTATCGTTGCACAGGGTGGCAAGATTTTAATAAAAGGTTTGTATCTTGCATATATTCAATAACAAAAAATAAATATAAATAATAATAAGTGTAATAAAAAAGAAAACCGTAGAAAATATTTGCAAATTTCCTAGATTTCACAGAGGCAGTTCTTTTTTACATAGCCCACTGAGGTTACCATAAAATTTTAAAATAGCCGCTGTTATTCCGTACTGAATCCTCCTTTTTCCTCTTTTTTTATCAAGGATTCATTGATTATTAGTTCCCTGCACCATTTTTTTAAATAAGAATACTATTGAAAAATTGTAAATTTGGGAAATTCGTAAATTGGAAATCTTAAAAATAAGTAAGAACAAACAACAATGTTATGAGGACTTTTAGATAGTGCATACTTTCTGGAGTAACATTGATAGATATGTAGTAAATTTAATGAACTTGTTAATTTTTGTTTCTATTATACTCGCTTCTTAAACGTGCTGATATTAAGTTGAGTTATTACTTCTTAAAAGTGTTAATAAATCAAGAGATGCATTTAGTTTTGCTAATAGTTTTGTTTGGATTATTTCGTTTTTATTTCTGGAATAGCCTCTAACGATAAATTCGGTATTGTGTTACTTGAAAGTAGAAATAAAGAACTCTTTTTATTTAACTCATGTCAAAAAATATATATATTCTAAAATTACATTATCCAGTTTTTTCTGCTGTTAAATACGGAACCGTTCGAATCAGATATGGCAGCTTACGCTCTCATATTTTGTACAATACGCAAAAATTTGTCAAAATTTCAAATTCCAGCTTGAGAGAGACAGAGACGTATGTTGCATAGAAAGTTTCACAATTATATTCAAAATAGGCAGGGCATTTCATTGGAAAAAATTAAGTTGGAATCTAGTTCATGTAGATTTGGCAACGCCGCGACGTCCCAAAATAATTTTAACATAAAGATCATCACTTCCTATGGGCGAATTATTAAATGCTTATATTTTTCTATTCTTCCTGATAGGTCATTCAGTTTAGGGAAGCCTGTTTAAAAGCGGTAAAAAACTTATTGGCGGCCAATCAGCGGCCATGATGGTTGCTAAATGCCGCAAGGTCATTGGTTAAAAACGAGATTTTAAATCTTGCTCATGCCCATGTTGAATAGACCTTCTCCAATATGTTTTCGTAATTGCTTCCTGTAATATCAGCATAGATAATCTCCAGTACCTATATGGTGGAGGTGTTCTGTGGTCAAAATCATAATTATATATTATTGAGAAATTTGGCAACATAGAATTTGTTTCGTTTCTATTTTCGATTTCAAAAACACAAATTTTATTTTTAGAGACATTTTTGGGGAATATAAATTGTAAAATCTCCCTGGGGAATAAATTCCTATCGATGTCGGGGGGTTTTTGAATATGCACAATTCAGAAATGCTAACAACAATGTTGTCAGATTTACCACTTTTACGTCACATGTCACATATTTGTTTTTTAAATGGAATTCCCATTTTTTTGTTGCAATAAATTTCGCATGTCGAATTTAGTAAGGTCTCAAAATTTCAAAATTCGGGTTTAATTAATTCCAGACCTGCGGTAACACCGCTTTTTCATTAAAAACGAACTGGACGCTTAAAATCTTCAAAATTAATAAAGGTGAGGCGATAGAATTCAAAACCTAGGGTTTTTTGAACAGGCCGAATTAAAAAATTCCAGCGCCGGTGTTGGGCACTGTTAACAAAAATAAATTCTTAACTTCTCATAATTTTGAAGATTTTTGAGTTAGCAGAAAGCTAAATGCCTTGAAACTGAATTCAAAGTTTTGAATTTTTGGCTATGAATATATAAAAACGTATTTAAAATTTAACTTAAAAAAATGTATGCCTGAGACTATATCGATTGTTTTGCCCATAATTAATATTGCACAAATACAAACAAAAAATATAACCAACCCCGTCTAACAGCCCAGTGCAGTAACATTAAAAATAAAAGCAAAAATGCCAACGGCAATGTTGTCAGATTTACTATTTTTACGTTATATGTAATACTTTTTTATTTCAAATGGAATGCCCTATTTATTTTTGTTCATGTCGAAAATAGCAAGGTCTCAAAATTTTATTTTATTTATAATTTTATTTGAATAATGGAAAGCTAAATATCTTCAAAACTACCAAAGGTGGAGCGACAAATTCAAAACCTGGAGATCAACCACTGTAAACAAGAGAATGTTAATCCTGCAAGTTCAGAAACCCCGGGTACCCCCCGTATACTAATTCCCGTTTTTACTACCGCTACCAAACGTACGTTTGTTAATAAGCGCGAATTAAAAAAACAAGGAACTACGTTTTTATTTAGCCGTGTCGGCGGAACCGTCGAGTTTAGAATTTCCTAGGTGAAGCAAAAGCTGACGCGGTATTTGGCGCGGCCGACGCTATCTAATCGCAGAACAAACAACGATAAAACACGTTCGATACCCGCGTCACTATCCATTAGCAACGTTCGTCACACGAAAGGCACGCGAAAAAAAGAAATGGACTACCTGCAGAAAAAGTTCAAGAAATCGCAAGACTCCGCGGGAGTGGTTAGCGAGAAGGAGTACAAGTATGCGAGTCTGCAGGCGGTATTGAAGGAAACGGTGAAAGAGGGCAGTCGAAGACAGTTGAAAGAGCTGGTGGAGGAAGTCAATAGTCACCTGACGGACTTGCGAGGCTTGTCGGACGAGAAGGATCTCAGAATAAGAGAGAGGACGCAATATCTGATCGACAAGTACGAAGAGTGTTTGGTTAAACTGTTGAATGGCGAAGTGAAACAAGCACAAGGTGAGAGAGCGAGATATATCGTTTGTGTGTTGATAACAACGCAGATGCGATGGTGCTGATTGATTTTCTCTAAAGATTTTTTTATGGTTGCTTCTATGTCGGCGAAAACGTCTCATTGTTTTCAAAACATTAAATTAGATAAATTAAATTAGTTAGCTCATTATCACCGGATGCTTTAATACACCCATGACTGTTTTATTGAAAAATTTTAAATACGGAAGTTGCTTCTCCATTTGTTTAGCTCCGCCCCCTTCAAACAATATATAAGCAGGTACAGAGTAAAAAATTTTAAATGGAGCACCCTGTATATGCTTTCTGAGGACGAAATGTTTTTGGGATCAACTTGCAATGTCGATTAATACTAATAACGCCTTAAGCAAAAAATGCAAACACAGAATAATATAATAATAATAAATTTTAAACCGAGAAACAAAGAAAAATACCATGAAGAAAAAAAACAAAAATACAAAGAGTTAAAATGCAAAAATATATATGTACACACATAAATGTAAAAAAAAGCGGAATATTAAAACATAATTATAACTTTTTATGGGATCATATTAGGGAGAAGAGAGAAATAACTTCATAATAAATGAAATTATTGAAAAAAAAACGCTTGAAAACTGAAACTGGCATTTGCTCATTTTATTGCCCAACTTAAATATAACCCAATATAAAATAATAACAATGCTCTTAAACAAAAAACATAAACGCGGAATAATTATTCTGAAACTAACATTTGAAAGGAACGATAACATAAATTAATTGTAAACGATACAATACCGAAGTAAAATGGTACAAAAATATATAAATGTTAACATTTAAAAAATTCACAAGAACAATAAAAAATAAGAACATACTCAGAATCCTGAAACCGAACTTTCCACTCTTTTGTATGCGTATGTATGCTAGTTCAAGTTTAATATTTTTTTTCCTATATGTTATTAATAATAATGCCTTTAACGAAAAAAACAAAACAGCTAGTCCAATCTAATAACCCAAAAGAATAGAAAAATGAAAAAAACTGAAATCAAAAAAGAATAAAAGAAAAATAAAAAAATACAACAGGTGAAAGGGTGCAAGGGTACAGAAATTGATTATGTAAACAATAAAACAATTAATATATAAAAACGTAATTATAATTTAACGTAAAATTACTTTTATGCCAGAGACGATATCGTTTTTTTTGCCCAAAATTAATACAAAAAATGTGAACAACCCTCGTAATCCAGTAAGATTAAAAAAAAAATATGGTCATGTTTAAACCAAAAAACAAAAAAAAAACTATAAGAAGACCCAAAAAAATGACAGTAGGATAATAATAAACAAGAAAACACATTCAATTTTTAAATAAACTTCCACATGCTACTGTAATACTATTTACACAACATCCTGTGGGCTTCTCCAAAGCTTGGTTTCAGTTAAGCTCTACAGATGCAGCGAAACGTCAACAAGTTCGATTTATAAACACACACTAACCAACACAGGAGGAACCCCAAAGAGTTGCAAATAGTAAGAAAACGCATTATTCAAAAATATAACATGACAGAGACAATAACCTCAAAATAACTTTGAAACTGGTTGTTGTAGAACTAGTTCATTGCCAATAACAAAACCAAATTGTTCCAGTGGACAACGAGGTGAAGCCGGAACCCAAGATTGCTTTCAACGAAGTCGAGCAGAAACTCAAACTCATGCGCCAAAAACGCCTCAACAGGCTCAGCACCTTCGTAAACGAACAAACGAAACTTTCGGAGCAGAGAAGCGAGCTAGCCAGGATCGAAGATAGGCAGGAAATCAAATCCACTAGGGAAAGCAAAGAACATACCTGCGACATTGATCGAGACGACAAAATAGCCTTCCGCAGATCAGAACCAGATCAGAACAGCAATTTCGCAAGAAACAGTGCCGGCAAAGTGGCCGAGATCAGAAGTAGTTTCGGGAAGGCGGCCGGACCTACCGAAAAAATAGTCATGCCCAGAGCGCAAAGCAGAACACCTGGTGAGCTTTAATTTTAAGCGAAATAACTTCGGAAAGCTTCCGGAGCACTTTACAATTTATTACCCCCTTCGTTTAAATTTATATCTCAGCACTTAGAGGGCGAAAATAGTCCCCTTCTCCCGTAATTTACAGCCGGCAAGTTTTAAAAGGGGGGTATTTTAAAATGCAAATACACTCGTCCTTTACAATCGATGTTGTTTCAGCACCGATTAAAGAACTCCCCAAGATCCAATTCAAACTTCCCCAGAACCAAACTAAGGGCTTGGATTCTCCCCGAACTCCCACTCAGATGAGGAAACTATTCAACAGTTTCAGCAGCTGCGTCACTGACCAAAAGCCGGTCACTTCGCCCGAAGATCCTCGCGACGCGTTTCTCCAAGAAATCAAACAGCTCCAACTAAGAAGGCCTAACGTCCAACATTCAGAAGACGCTGATAGTTTCGTACAGGAGCACAGGAAATCGCCGAGGCAACCAATAGCGGTTTGCCCGCCCAGAATTCCTTCAAAACCGACTAGCAAAGTCGACCCCATGACTAAATCGGTTGAAGAACCCAAAGCTGATAGCGAGAACGCGAACGCCTTGAAGAGGGTGTCTTCTGGTCCAGGTTCCCTTTCGATACCTGATCCGGACCCGTTAGATTTCACGATAATGTCGGTGAGAAGATCCAACCTCGGCGAATCCTTCGGAAGCACGGACAGAAGTTCATTCTCGACCTTCAGGTCCAGCAAAGACTCGTTTAAAGGGTTGCCCGAAGAAAAAATCCTCGACACTCCCGCATATGTCGAGGTCCAATCGGCAGCAGACGACAGCGAAATAGAAAAATCTGTAGCAGATTTGCTGAAACACGCCAGCATCATTCGTTCCCTACTTGGAAACAAGCACGGGGAAGATATCCAGAAAATCGGCAGTTATCGCGAGCTTCTCGATAATCTCAACAGGCAATTGCGGGATGTCACGCGAAAGATCGAGAGTCAACTAGGTGCCAGTGTGGAGTTGGACGGAATCAATTCGCTGCGTGACGAAGTTTTCCATCTGCAGAAATCAATTAACAGTTTCAAAGGTCTGAGGAGGGATCTAGAGTACCTGGTACTGGCTAGCAGTTTGTCGAAAATTAAGATGGAGTTGAACGATATGCCGTCGCGCTCTGAGGAAGCGGAACTGAGGAGAGTTGGGGTTCTGGAGAGGGTGACTGCTGCCGAGGCCAAGTTGGAGGACAGAGTCGATAGCAACGAGAGGACGTTGATGTTGATTCTGAAGACCCAAGTGTCGATGTTGGGGGACAAGTACATAGGGAACCGGTAGGAGTCAAAGTGAGTAAGCGGTTGTAGCAGTGGAGCATGCCAGGTGTGTGAGGATAGAAACAGGGCAAAATCAATTGAGTGGACGACGTAAGAGTAAGGAAACGGAGAGATTGTGTGTACGTACTGTGTTGTAAGAATGTTAAATTAAAGTTTGAATTATTAACAAATAGCACTAGGCTATAGGGAACAGGTTTTTTTTTTCAAATATAGTGGTTAGGATGACCACACTCGGTGGGGCATAGGGAGTTGAGTTGATACATTCAGTTTTTGGAAAGTTTAGGAAACTCCCACAAGCTGCTGTAATACTATTTACAAATCTCCCGGATTCCTTCTGACCTTGTGACCTTAACAGTTTCAGTTATGCACTGAACGTCAGCAAATTTGGAGGACTATATCGCGAATAAAAACGCGCCTATATTTCATCGGTTTTGAATTAACTGAGGTGCCCTCTACAGCACAACAAAAATGTTGATATACAACACGGTTCGTGAACTTTCCACCAGAAGGTGACCCTGTTTTATACAAATATTCTAACTCGATGTATACAGGGTGTTTTCTATTTGGATCTCAATAATGAATGGGGCGAGTTTGGCATTCATTTTAAATGTCTGAACTTTTGACATACAATGGCATACTACTGACTGTCTATGAATAAATAATGTTTTGGTTAATTACAGCGGCACTGCATTGGTTAAACGGAGAACTTTTTTTGTGAAAAATAAAATATCTATCTAAAATAAAACATATAGTTTTTAGCTATCAACTTAGTATCCTTCAGAAAAAAATATATTAGGAGACTGTTCTTTTTCGTTTTACAGTTTTAATGAACGGGATAAATAGCAAAAGATTTTCATTCAAATTTATTTGTTTATGTTTACGTACTTCGAAATCGTACTTCTATATTTTGAAGTATTTTAACAAAACAGATAAGACAATTACTTTCATTCAATTCTCTGAATGCATATTAATGATATTGTTATGACCATGCAGAAAAGAGGTTTTCATTTTTTAAGCGAGAGCCGCACATTGGATTAAAAAAAATCAAGAAATGAAATTCCTTTAGACATGATTGGTGTCGAATTTCATTAAAATGTCTATTACAGATATTAAAAAAATATATTTTATTTTTGAAAACTTTACCACATATGTTCATATAAAGTTTTTTTTTTTTTAAATAGGCCACTTGTATTATTGACATTTAATTAGAAATCACAAGGTATACAACCAGCGATACGTTCCGCCTCGCGTTATTGGCAACATCACCGAATTTCAGGGCGATACAAAGTATTAAATATATGTTTTAGTATTGCGTACAGAGATTTCAGCGTTGCTGTTAAGAAAATCCACGTTATTCTGGCTCCCAAAAATCATAAAATAAGTTTTGGGTCATTTTTATTAAGTTTAAAGTTGTGCTTTTTAGGAAGATCACTTAGTATTTGTAAGTCCTCATTAATAAATTTAGCCTCCAAGAAATCTTCCTTATCAAATGAACAAAAAAACGAGTTTCGTTAACTAATGCCCGTATTACAGTGTATCGAAGTCACTTAAAAATGAGACCGCATAAACGAGATAGAGTAAGGGTCCTAAGATGAAACTTTGTGGAATTTCAGATCTAATATGTAACGTACCAGATCAGATAAATTATTATCACACTGCAAAAGACTGAAACCTGCCGTCAAAAAAAAAGGTAAGCAAGAAGGTAAGCTGGATTATCAAAACAATAATATATAATAAGAATTGTGTTGATCTAATCAAATTTTTAAAAATTCTTTTGAAACCTCCATTAAATTTTTCGTATAATTTAGTTATCAATGAAATATGTATACATTTGGTTATATAAAAATATTCAAATATTTGAAATAAAGCGCAAAGATCGTTAACCATTTTATGAATTTTCATGCAATTGAATTTTAAGTAAAGTAAAGTAAATTCTATCAAAAACAAAGCTTCTGAAAATGACATAATATTTACACACACTACACAAAGGGAAGACAGTCGTAGCTATCGATCTCCCAGATTATATTTCAAAAACTAACAATTTTCTTAAACCAGAACTTTTCCAATGTATCAAAGACGATCCTATCGAGTTATATCAAAGACAAGTCAAGGAAGTAACTAACTCCACACTATTTAGTGACAAAGACAATTATTTATTAACAATTACCGGAATTATATTCTTTAGTTAAATTACATAAACAAGATTAGAGCAGTCGTGTCTTATGTAACGGCTCCAGCAGTTAAACTCCCAACAAACTTAGTAAATATTTTAAAGTCCCACACGGATTTTAAACCAAAATTTCATTTAATCAACAAAATTAAAGATATCAAAATCCATTCTAACACAACACTATTGTCTTTTGATGTACAAAACTTATTTCCCAGTATTCTAATTATGGATGTGATAGATCTAGTAGATTTCACCCTCACTCAAAATTTATTAGATTGCTTAATAGTATCTTTAGACCAAAATTATTTTGAATTTAATGGACAGATTTACATCTCTAAGGATTATGGGAAACCCACTTAGTCCTTTGTTAGCCGAGATTTTTATGGATAATTAGAACATCCTTTTCTATGGTGATATAGATAAGTGGATGATGTCTTTGCTTGCTTTGTTGGAACGGACAGACAATTGAATTCTTTTTTAAATTATATTGGCTCATTACATAATCGTATAAAATTCACTATCGAAATTGAACAGGATAAATTAATTTTTTAAAGTTAACTGTTACGAAAACGCAAAACAAATTAGACTTTTCCATTTACCATAAACCTTCACACACGGACACAGTGACATACCAGTTCAAATCACCCCTATACACACAAAATGGCTGCATTTCACTCTTTTATACACAGACTTCTTAATACGCCATTCTCAACAGAAGATTACAACAAAGAACTTAATATCATTAAACAAACTGCACTGAACAATGGCTATAATCCGTCCACTATCGATAAAATTATAAATAAAAAACAAATCCAGACAACAGTAAACTCTATTTATCGGAAACCTAATATAGAACACGAACAATTTAGAACAATTACATACAAACTAACCCAGTGAAAAAGTTTCAAAACATAACATAACATAACAACATCATATGAAAATTTTTAAAAAACAATAAAACGAAGTGTCCAAAATCTCAAAAATCAGGTGTCTACAGGTTGAAATGCGGATCATATCCTAAAATTTATATTGAACAAATAGGTAGATCCTTCAAAAAACGCATTAACGAACATAAAAGAGCGTTTAAAAACAATTGTCTGGAATCTAATTATGCTACACACTTAAACACAGAAAAACAAATTTTTCACAATTTTATATAGAGCCACAAAAAGCAGAAAATTAAATTTATTGGAAGTCATGGAGATTAACAAAACGAGACAGTCAAATGTATTGCTTAACTATCAACTAGATTTAAATTGAATTGAAATGTTCTTCTATTGATTAGTGCACAGATGGAGAATTTAAGCATCAAGGAGGAGGGAGATTTTATCCACGCCCGCTGCTTTCATTGAAATATTAATTAAAATATCATGTCCTTGAGAAACTGTTGCCAGAGGTTTCAACAAAAAAAAAATCAAATGAGGATAGAGAGAACATTCTACTGTTGCTGCAGTCTGTAAACATCTCATAAAAATGAAGAAAAAGTCGGAGTCGGTAATAAAACTATTTTTATTTAAGCAAATATTTTTTCAAAAAAAAAATCGCATTTTTTTTCTGGGAGCTTTTTTGTTTCTTATATTTTGTTTGAAATGGGTGGTAACCAATTTTGTATTGTAATTTGTCAACGAGAACAAAACGGAAGATACATATATACCATGCAAAGAATATGAGAAACGAAGAAAAGCAACAAAATAAGTTCAATTTAATAGACAAGAACGACTGGAAAAAGCACTACAAACAATTACTAACGGAAAAGAGACCACAATTCAAGGAGATTCAAATTAAAAATCAAGAAATCGACGAGATAACAATAAACGAAATTCGAAAAGCTTTACAAGATTCAAAAAATGGAAAAGTATCAGGACCTTAGAACATTCCTATTGAACTAGTGAAAAATGGACCAGTGATCCTACGCGATAAGAAAAACTGCAATAAATATCATGGCATTAGTGGAACTAGCGCAATGGGGAGATTATATGGCAGAATAATAAAAAATTGAATCAAAAAAAATATTATAGAGATAGAAGAATAGAACGGATTTCGTGCAGGTCCCTCCTGTATTGATAACACCTTTGTTATGCAACAAATACTAGAAAAATGTAAAGCCAGAAACCTAGCCACTCACGATGCAGACTATATGCTAAGAAAATTGGAAGACGAATATATAAAATGCGGTTTAAATATGAATATCGACAAAAACGGAATTCCTACCGGTTGGCAGCAAAAATGAAGACCCCGAACTGCATATAAATACAGTAAAAAAATGTAAACCGTATAATTATCTAGAACGCATAACTTCAGAAGACAGAACAACAAAAGAAGACATAAAAAACAGACTGCAACAAGGAAAAAAAGCTACAAGAATTTTAAATTCATTGCTTTGGTCAGAAAAAATTAGGTTAAATACACAACTACCAATCTACAAAGTTATAGTGGAGCCCATTCTAACGTATGGATGTGAGTGCTGGCAATTGACGGACAGACAGGAAAAACAAATTGATGCTATTGAATTGGCTACCTGAGAAGATCCTGCTGGATATTTAGAACACAACATATACGAAGTGAAAACATACCACGAAGAACAGGGCCAGTATACACGACTGCAGCGAGAATACAGACAACACAATTACTATGGTACGGACATGTGATGAGAATGGAGCAGGACTGGTGGCCGCAAAAAGCACTACTGTGCCAACCGCTAAATAGAAGAAGAAGAGGAAGACCCTGGAAGGAAGGTATAGAACAGACAATGAAAGACAGAACTATCCAGGAAGACGAGTATATGGATAGAAAAGTTTGGCGTACGAAATGCGGGATGTGGCAAAAAACGCTGTAGGACTTTTTCAAAGAACCTTCCACTTCCAAGACTTTTTACAAAACTTCTGGATTCCTCCTGCGTCGGTTTTTGCTGAGTCGACGTTTCGCCAATCATCCTGTTGGCTTCTTCAGAGCTTGACTAAAATTAGCTCGTATTTTAAGTATATAAACAGGTGCAGAGTAAAATACGAGCCAGTTTCAGTCAAGCTGCGAAGAAGCCAATAGGATGATTAGCGAAACGTCAGCAATTTCCACTAAGCAAAAACCGAAAATTTTTGTGGCAAACTGCCTTTATTATTGGGCGAAAACAATTTTTACGCAGGCCAGAAATTCCCTATACCTAAAATAAAGAAAAAAAATGTTTATTTCGTTGTAGACCGTAAAAACGAACTTTCGGTTTTTGCGAAAACTTTTTCAGAAAGCAAAGCACAATCGCGACGCCCAGAGCATTATTTGTTTGCCGGCGTTTGAGGTTTTAAGTCGGAAGTAAGTCGGATTTGTCGTGACACGCGTGTTTGAGATATGTATATAAATATATGTAAATTTTTCGTAACTGAAACTTCCAATATTAAAGTCAAGCGTAAAATAGAGTGAACCATTTTTTCTAAACTGTCCGAGTTTAAACATGTAGTTCTAAAAACAGAAATCTCCAAACTCTAATCTCCGGTTTGTTTTCAATTTTCCAGCAGTACCCATGGGTTGCATATTTTCATTCTGGACTGAGTCGACAGATAATACCCCATCCGAGAGCCCGGTGACGGAACAATGTCTGGTGGTGGTTTACAACAATCCAGGTCCGTCTACCAGCAACGCCGTCTGGGATGACACCCCATCCCCTTCTCAAAAAAAGGTCAGTTTTATCGAGGACGACAAAGCAGAGGAGACGATCGCCAAAGACGACGACGACGACGACGAGCAGTCCAAGGGAGGGGGAGAAGCGGAAGAGGAGCCTAAACCGGATGACAAGAGGTCAAGTATCATTTACCCCTATGATGACAGTGATGACGATGAAGATTTAAAGAAGAACGACGAAATCCCGTAGGAAGCCGAGGCGGCGAGGATTATTTAGGGGTGCTGTTCCGATGAGCCCAAATATGTTCTCTGTTTCTTTTTAATGTGTGTATTGCCGTTTTCTCTCCTTTAATGGAGACGTTTTTTTGAAACGTTGACTTTTCGTGTTTGGCTGTGATTCGAAATTCGAACGCGTAACTTTTTTTAATAATGACTGTACCAATAAAGTATCGATTTCATTTACAAGTATTTTGAACATCCAAAGTTTCCTGAAAAATTACGAGACGTTTGCTGGGTAAGTAAAAAATGTTTTTTTTGAGGTTATTATTGTTCCAGGGTGTTTTTTGGTCTGATTTGTTTTGTCCTGTCCTCTATCATTTTTTATGCAGTGCATTTTTTATGTTTTCTCTGACTAAAACTTAATGATTTATCAATTTTAATTTTAATTCTTCTTGCACCTGTTGACGAAAGTTCCGTTATACAATTATATACGACGGGACTTATGTTTATTTGTTTAAAGGATTATTTTAAGCATTGACGACGCTAAAGGGTATTACCTATACTAACCTATCATATATTTAACACGAGTTAAACTGGAATTAGAATTGATAAAGGTCAAAATTTAATGAAAGTAGTAATGTTAAAAAAAACACCGCTACACACTTCACACAGATTTCACATTGCCACGTGAATTTTATCCTATTTTATTCATTTTTATTGTTGTTTTTCACTTAAGGTGTTTTTGCCTAAAATGTGCGCCACTGAGTGTTTTACGGATTGACAACCTGGAAATATTCTTTTACTATTTCTAATTAAATAAAATAAAAGAAATTCTGCGAAAACATCTTTCCAAAAGTATACTTTTCTATAAAAACAATATGTGCATGGCTATCTTAATCCAATGAAAAAAAAAGAATACATTTCTGAAAATTTTATTGCGTATCTTTTGTTCTAACTTTTAAAAGTTATTAAAAATATAAATACTTTGATTTTCGAGTCTTCTCTAGGGAATGTCGATTCTAACAATAAGATAAGGCAAAATCATTTACGTAATTAGCATATTTTAAAATTCAAAAATAATTAATATATTGAAAATTGGTAGAGGAGAGTAGCCAGCAAAATAAATCTGAAGGAAGCAATGAATCGTCCATAAATCATCAAATATTCAAAAAAAAACCTCGTTTTAAAAATATAAAGATTAAATATCATATTATGTTTATTTGGGTACAATAAGATGACACGAAATTACTAACAGAAATTACCATGACATTAAATATATATACAAATTATCAATAATTTCTTAAGTTAATACATTTTTACAAAAATTGAATTCTAGTTCACTCTCATCGCCATTAAGGTTAATTACAATGTTATTTTGTATGCAAATGTAAGAATCTTCAATTTTTACTGCTGTACATATCCTTTATAGAGGATATTGACGTTTTTCTCAGTGGGCAGGTTTCTTTTACAGCTTTTTGATTGGTTTTCATTATTAGGTTTACCCGGTATAGTCCGACACAGAATAAACTGTCATGACTGCGATTAAGATTAATTAATTAATGTTTAATTAATGCTTTTCTCTCTTGGCATTTTTGGGCCAATAAATCCAAACAGGTCCAGAATAGTAGTAAGAAAATTGAAACATAAAATCTGTGCTATCACTATCATACAAAGATATAATTAATGTAATATAAATGTAAAAGAAATGTAAATAATTTAATGTAAAGTAGATGAATAACTCATTCTCTCCACTGCTCTGTAATATTAATTCACACTGAGTTTTAATTACATCAATTACATGGACGGACGTTTTTGGGTTTATATTATTCCGTCTAACTTTGTTAATTCGACCCATATCATTCAAATCGCAGTGATTTTTTTTTAGATATTTTTATTACCCCGTTCTAACTGTTAGTCTTTTAATTAAAACTTCTAAGATTTTAAAACTAGACTTTTTAGATTTTTTTAATGTAAATATAAAAACCCCAAAGGATTTTACTACAGGCTCAAAGCTTCAAGAACGTGACACAATACTGACATATATTGCAGTTCTAAAATCATATAAACTTTTTGCAGTATTTCATCAACTCCATGTTTGTAAACAGTACTCAGATGATGTACTTTTAACATGGAACTCGAGTCATATAAATTCAAAATTCGTTAAATTTTAAAGACGGAAGTTATTGATCCCGGATTTAGTGCTAACTAAAAATATTAACCAAAAAAAGTGCCATTTTTTTATTTTGATAATAAAAATAAGAATTGATAACGTAATTAGTTTAAATTATTTATAGATATATTTTAGAAATGGACATGACACTGTACTGACATTTAGCTGATATATTGTGGGTTCTCTTTGAATGTTAAATTATATTACGTAAAAAATATGATGAAGCACGTTCATGATCATCTATTTAATACAAATATGTTTCCATTAGATTACTAATTTAATCACAAATAATAACAATACAAGACATAAAAAATCACAGTTATATGTCATACGATTTGGTTCTTAAAACTTTAAAAATTAATTTTTCGGTATAAGTATTTTCACGATAAAGTGCTGTCGTTACCAGCATTATATATATTAATAGAAATATTTAGAAGACGAGAATTTTGTACCCAATTTTCAAAAAGTTCGCTTGCCATGTCCTGGCGATAATCTAATGAGCAGTGTTTAATGTATTTTGCTGAAAGTAACAAAGCGGTTCTCGCTCAATTTTCCTTCGAGACATAGTGTAAAATGGATATTATTTTTCTTCTAGATGCAGGTACACCGTGTGCCAAATAAAACGACCCACTATACGATTTGGAAACCCATAGGAGATACCAAAAACTAACAAAAAAATATTATGTTGTTAATACAGGAAGTACCAAAAGTGTCCACCCCCCGTTCCCAAACTCATTTTTGATATTGGAACACCCTGTAAATTTTGATATTTTTTGAATCCTTTGTTACAGTAAGGTACACTTACTTAAGAAATTCCTATTCAAATTTTGCATAATTTAGGCATAAATTGAGGTTATGTGTTTTTTTTATATTTTGATTGCGCCGTATAAAATTATATTGTAACGCTACTGATACAGGAATTGCAACGAAAATTTAACCACAGACTAAGGAGACGATGCACTACTTGATGCAGCTTTAAATTCAACAAGAATTTATTCAGGTGTTATCTTAAAAATCAAATATCTCAGTAAGTAAGAAAAATTTAAATATAAGATAAGTTAGAAACTTAATCGAATTCTCCAAAACCGCAAGGCCTATTTGGGACACCCTGTATAACCTGAGGCGCATCTATCAAACTGATTAAGTAATGGATCATCTCCTTAGTCTGTGGTTAAATTTTCGTTGCAATACCTGGATCAGTAGCGTCGCAACACAATTTTATACGGGGCAATTAAAATATGAAATAAAAACACATAACCTCAATTTCTGCCGAAACTATGCAAAATTGGAATATGAATTGCTTAAGAATGTAACCTTTATTTTCACCAAAAATGTCGAAATATATAGGGTGTTCCTTTTTATTTTACCTTCACATTAACATAACGAATAATCATTGTAACGCTACTGATGCTGGATTTTAAAATTTCTATGGTGTCGACACTACTAAATCAATAACATCTCCTTTTGCTCATAAAGCTTAAGTAAAGGACCTTCCCTTAATCATAGGGCAGGCAAGTCAAGACCATTTATCATGTGATGGACTTTAACGATATTATTTATTTATTTATATATTTTCGCAGATGAATAGAAAATGTTTAAAGGGAGTCCAATAAACCGTTTCCTAAAGAACATTGAAAAAGACAAACTATCGTAGTGGTGCACAAATCCATTTCACGGTGACAGGGTGTCGCCTTTACTGTTTTTTTTTCAAACAAATGGTTCATCATTTATTACACAACAGCGCCTCTAATTAATAATAGTAATATTATTTTTTACACACAATGGTTTTCTACGTATAGTGTCGAATATTTTCAAATCTACAATTACGCGAAAAAAATACTCCAGCGCCGATAATAATATTCCAATTAATATTTTCCTTCGCGCAGATTCAGATTAACGCTTAAAACCAGCGCAAATAATAATTAATTCTGAGCAACTTTATCAATAAACGGTTATCAACGTTTGATTTTTGTTTGTTAAGGCTCAACGAACGATTCCTGTCGGGCAATCCGAACCCTCTTCTCTTTGCAATCCGGTAAGCGTTTGAATCGCATAATTATTCGCGTTCGTTCGATTTTCATCGACCGCAAAATTAGCAAAATTTACGATTCTTTATCAGTTCCGCCGCCTCGGACTCAGTCAACATCGTAACATTTATGGCCTTTTATGGTTCCGCGCGGTAATCTCGAGATATTAGGTCAGCTAATATCGGGAAATGCGAAAAAATTCAAAACGCGGCGACTGATCTTTAAGTGCCCGAAGCCTAGACCTACAAATTTCGACTTCCCCGTCGCTAACCAATCGCGAACGGCGACAGCCACGAGGAATTTTGGAAGTAGATGGATGCTACTATCGACGGGTGAAGGTTTTTTCAACTACGCCCGGTATATCGTATTTGCTTAGCGTCGGGAGCTGCGGCTAGAAAAAATTGGATATTTTTTTTTTAATAAAAAGGTAGCCGCTTTGGTGCTCCTACTAACGGTTGGAAATTATTGTAGTCGATCTTGTCGCGTGCGTTTCAGATATTTCGTTGTGCGTGTTTATCGCGGATGTGCGAGCGAAGGTCGCCATCTTAGCTGCATCTTATTTTTTGACGAGTAAGTTAGTTAGAATTTATACCTATTTTGCGGGATTTTTGCAAAATACGGCAGGCGCTCGACGGTGCGGACCCAAAAAATTTGAATTTCCTACGAAACCCCACTACTCAGCTAAAAAAGTAAAACAAAAGAGTCAGAAATATTAGTTTGCGTTTACTTGCATTCAAACGTAACATTATACTTATAAGCCCTCGTACACACGCGATGATGACATTAAATTTTGCCCCTTTTTATTAAATCCAAAATATTAAAAAATGTATTATACTAGGTTTAATTGTAGTAAAGACTTGGGGATGAGAAGTCTTAATTTAAAACGGTCAAGAGAACATTCTCGAAATTATTTTTTAGTTTCTAGAATGGTCGCCATGGCAGGTCGTGGCATTTTATATCCCGTTTTTTTTTTTTGAGAAAAGATAGCTAAAATGGACACGACTATAAAGCTGTGATAAATTCAATTCTTTTTAAAAGAAAGTGGTGGGGGGAGGTGAGCATTTTCGGTAAAAAATGTCAATAACTTCAAAATGGCCGAACCCGCCTTGTCAAACTTGGAGGGAGCATATTGATTTATGCTGCTTATATCGCCAATAGAGGGCGTTTTTCGACATCAATATAAATAAAAATTATTTTCTCCAAAATATTAAATGCAACGATATCACTTTTATCGGAACAGAAAATAGCCGGTAGTGAAAACCGCATTTCGATATCGTTTTCTTAACCTACAATATCATTAAAACTAATAAACACTCGAAATATGTCGCATCTTTGGGATCATTTTCAGTCTACCTGCGGTTAATTTTCGTTCTTTTGGTAAAATAAATGTACTCTTAAAATACACAACTATAATTAAAATGTTAATAATAATTAACAGTCATTCAGTATCATGGAGTTTCGTCTAAAATCGTAAAGAAAACAAAAAGCGAAAATTGTAATGGTGGTGCAATATCGATCATCCTTACATCGTAGATATTTATACTGTATTTTGGATGGCATTTTTTGTAAAAAATGCTATTGGTAATTCCTACTTATAAAGCATCGATGCAAATACAGAACATAAAATTATGGTCATATGATGAAATCAACATTGCAACTTTTGGAGAAAATAGTATTTTTATGGAAAGTTACAATGGTTCGTGGAGAAATATTGTTGAAACAAGCAAGACAAAGTCGGTATATGTATTTTTTAACTTGTTTCTAAAAATCCACATTACGAACAAAATAGTTTTTAGTTTTCCAACAGGATAATGCTCCGTATCATTGCAGGGAAGAAACAAAAGTTTTTTTAAGCACACTTTATGTATTGGGATTTTTTTATGGGACACACTTAAAGAAACAATGTATCAATGACCTGAAACGAAAGCTGAAGCAATTAATAATAATGATGCTCTTCGACTAGCATTCAATTAAGACATTTGTTTAGCTGAAATAAGTAATAGCTCAAACATCATACTTTAACAATATCGTAATACTATCTCTTCACTGTTGTAGTATGTTTGTTCGTTGATTGGTTTGTATTATATATTATTTTTAACTTGTGTTTAATTCAATATAAGTATTTTTGATATTCAAATCAATTAGGTTGTTTCCAAACTCCATTAATTTCCCACTTTTCCCCACTTTTTTCACAGGATGCAGTACAAATCATTGTTATTTGTCTGAAACGGTTGAATTTAGGTTTAGTTTAAATAAAAATCGTATTTTTGTCATGAATCACCGCGTACAAGCCTCCTGAAAACGAGGTAATCCTTTTATTTTATTCTGTCCTCGTTCCAGGTGTGTTCCGGAGCACGATGGGCGGCAGGCATTCATGCTGCAAACCCAGAGGTTGCTTGAAGATCGAACAAGATCCGGACGCTTCTTTCTGGACTGACAACACCCAAAAACGCATCACCTTCACCCTGCCGTCGATCGTCATCACCGACGAAAAAAACCGGGACCATATCTTGTACGAACCGAAGGTGACCATCCAAAGCGAGCTTCGGAGCGCGCCCACCTCCCCCTTCGACGTCAAGTCCCGAAGGAGACGTCGCCTGTCCTCGCTACCCCCGGAGCAGGCTGCTCTGTACCGCCGGAGAGAAGAAACCATCGAAACCGTTTCAGTAGGGTCGGTAGTAGTTGAGGGTACCCTACCTATTCCCAAGGAGGCAGAGAGGGGAGAGGCGGTACCTTCTTGCTCTACCACAGATAAGCAAGAGGGAAACACCGACGAAGATGGGTTAGAATTGCGGACTGACTTACACGGTGCCAGTTAACGGCACTAGACTCGCAGTTACAGACTGAAACTAGGATGCTTGTGATATAGGGAGTGAGGTTATGGCATCGAAGCGCACGCGAGGCATGACGTTGCTTTAATTCTTTTCTGTCGCAGCGAAAGAATTATAAACATCTCATGTGGCTCCGATGCGTTTGTATGTAGTTGTACGTTGACCAAGGCCGAAACGCCTGGTATATTTATTGTAATAATGAGACGCGGGACGAATGTTTCTAAACCAGAAAATTGTATTTACCGGCATGATCCGAGCAACAATTTTAAAAATTTCTATCGTAAATATTTTTTTTTTCATTTTATGGATATTAACACCATGACAACAAGAAAGTTATAACAAACCGAAAATGGTTAGCAAATAGCAAAGTTTGCGACCTCCTCTCGCAATAAGTAAATTCGGATTTAAAATTTAAAACATATTTACGATCAAAATTTTCTTTTTGTCGGTGGTTGTAATTATACAGTATTGTTCGAGTCCAAAGTATTGTTAGTGTTATCTCTGTTCGACTTTGTATAGTAATGTACGTATCTGGTAAACGCTGTGATATATTTTATTTACAATTATTTTAATTTAACGTTGCTTTTAGAATAAACGAACCTCAGACCACCTATTAATATATAAGAAAGTGAAAATATAGTATGAATTTCTATAACTCCTTGGGAAATCTAAGAAGGCCATTTCACATATTACACCGACTTTACCAAACCAGGCTCTGTTGCCACATGATACTCCACATAAAAAAATTATATTTTTTTTATCATTGCGTTTTTTTTTAATTTAGCTAAGAGAGGGTACTCTAATTCAATCTCACCCAGAAAGCGCGAATTTATAATAGTAATACTTTCGTAAACAAAAAAAAATCCGCCATATTTGTAGCGCGATATATCCTTAATAGTTTAGTGTTGACCCAACGTTTATATAACAAACTACCCTTTATTTTAAGTAAATCTTTCGCATTTATCTTTTAAACACCCTCTGTGTTCCATTATGTCAACAGTTACTAAGTTTCGATGATGTCTTAATAAAATAGATTTTATTCAAGTATTACTCACAGACAAATTACGAAAAAGGACCGAATTTTATAAGTATTGCTATTTTACTTTACACTTTTTTTGAATTTGCCTTATTTGTCTGTAATTTAAAATTCAAACATTAACCGCGTTAAACTAGATGACTGAGAAAAATTCTTTCTTTTACATTTTAATTTTCGAACTGACGATTTTCAGTGATAAATAATAATCAAACACGAATTTTTATTTCTACATGTTGCGGAAAAACGAGCCAAAGACCACGATGCAGTTAATCAAAATTTGGAAATACATTTTGAACTTGCATGCTTCGAAACTCATTTCTTCTGTATTTTTTAAAACGGGACGGGAATGCAATCGAAAATGCAAAAGTAAATAATTTTCATTGGCGTCAAGCCGTGTCTAATTTTAACGGTGGATGGCGCTCGAATTTATGGAGAAGGCGCAGCGTTGAGAACGACCAAAAAAAAAATTATACCCGCACCTAACGGCTGATAAGATAGCGATAAAGCACAGAGACGCTTACAGAAGGACGTGAAACTTGGGGGAACTGATCAATAAATAACAGGGAATCAAACAGTTTCCTTATGATTTATAAGTGTTTTCGAACGTCTGGAAAGGTGATAGATATATAATTCGGTTTTATTGGAAACTGAAAAAAATCGCATTCGGATTATACGAGAACGTTATGGATATATTACCTGCCGTTTTAGTATCATTGGCAAAGCCGTACCCGAGAAATTGTCTGTCGGATATTTTTAAATCATCGAAAGGTTGTTGTCTCCTTTCGAAACACCTACGGTCATTTTCGTCGTAAACAGCTCGGCCGCTGCCAAAATCCTCGCGAAACTAACCAAGTTTAGTCTAAGAGGTTATGTTGTTTGATTAGTTCGATCAAATCGTTCATCTCTTCTACTTATTACAAAATTTAAAGTGATATGTCTTTATAATTACATATTTATTTGTAATATACTCGTTTTAAAACAAAAAATATTAACTAAAAATAGCTATTTTTTGATATTTGCCAATTTATATAAGTTTGTTTTAAATAAACTTAGGCTTAAACACATCTATGCCGTTTTGAAAAACACAATTATTAAAAACCTGAGCATACCTTATTATAGGTAGGAGAGTTAAATCTCTCAACAGAAAACGTCAGTCTTGTTCGCACTTGATATGAAATAACGTTAGAGCTCAACTAATTTATATCAAAAGAAGAATCCACAAGGTAATTTAGAACTTTGTAAAGAAACAGCTTCTTCTAGTATCAAGCGACATCAAATTGTAAAATTGTAGACAAATTAAATTAGAACAAAAAATGTTCAGTTTTTCACAGTTTTTAATGCTTTATGACAGCTGTTTCGGCAACACCGTGCCTTTATCAAATACAAACTATGACTATATTCCGAGACTAATATATAAAAACAAGTAATAGTAGAATTTTAATTACAGGTATATTAAGTAATAAATTCGAATATCTCATTTTGTTAATCTCCATAGCTTCCAACAAATTTGGTTTTTTGCTTTTTGAATGATTATGTAAAATATTAAAATTCTCGTCATTAAAAACTGTGAAAAACTGAACATTTTTTTGTTCTAATTTAATTTGTGTTAAATGGATTTTCATCAAGTAAAAGTCACCTCAATCTGATTTGTAAAATATTAAGTTTTATTCGTACGAGCAAAAGTGTCGAGTTTTTTGTGTGCTTTTTTTCTGACATATTTCCTATAAATAGGATTTCAAACTGTGGATGAGTACTCTGGTACAGTCCTTATCACGATTATGACTGATGCTTATTGAAGCCTTTCGCAATTCTAAAAATGAAGCCCAGCATTTCTCAACATTTTTTGACAATAGTTTCGATGTGAGCCTCAAAGTTTAATTGTGAGTCAAGAACAATTCCCAAGTCTTTTCACTTGCTTAACTCTTTTCAGCTGTCTATTATCAGGCATTAAGTTAATATCTATAAAATCCTCTTTCCTTGTAAATAGTAAATGTATCGACATTTAAAAAATAAGAGTCCCAGATGAGGTTCCTTGGGGAAACCCGAGGTAACATTTTCACAACGAGATTTTTCTTTGAAAAATTAAGCTAAGGCGATATATTTGCTGTATGTCATAAAATTATCACCAAATTTAACATTTCACCAAAATATTCTCCAAAAGTGATAAAAAATGACAACAATAAGGATTAAAAATAATTTTTAGTAGTTATATATGCCGCCTTGGAAGCCGCATTGAGCACTGTTTAGTGCATTTGGGCGCAGATGACACGTACGTCTGTTTGCCTTTCAAGCGTGACGAATACAATTACGGTTAAACAATCATAAGTAACGATTTAAAAAAGTTAACCGTATTCTCAAAAAACACTACTTGGGACTTAATGTTTATAAGATGTCTGTTGTGCCGTTCCAATTGAGGTATAGAAATGAGTATCCATTGGAAATGGACACTATATTAAGGTTTAAAACTCACTTAAATAAGTGCATCCAAAAGCACATACAAATTTAATTTAGACTTGCAAACTCCTTGATTTTAACTATCGTGATGTGGAATATGGTGTGTTTAGACAGTTTTGATATTAATAGAATAGAGAGGGTAGAAAAGTCGTTCTGAAAATTATTTACGGCATTCGTGAATACGAAATACTAAAACTACAAACTAAAGGAAACTAAATGATTAACCACGAATAATAGAATCATACCTTTTTAATAAAATTAAATTTAAACGTTCGTTTGCCGGCTGTATAACCAATTGTCCTCTGATTGTAAACTTCGTCACATTCACTCTTTCAAACCTGATGTTAAAAATTGACATAGTGATAGTCTAGTATTAGCATATCTTCGTAATCTTTATTTGTTCCCAGAAAGGGATACCGACATCGATAACTACCTCCTACAGTTAATAGTAATTTATGGCGCTGCTGTTGTTAGTTCCTTTATGCTTAACATTGCTTGTAATAAGTATTTCTATTCTGTTCATCACCATGTTGCCTTCTTCAGAACTTAACTGAAACCGATCCGCATGCTACTCTGTTCCTGGTTATATAGATATATACTGTTTCTTGGGGCGGAGCTATAAGACTAACCCGCGCATTCCCATTCCCATATCGGCCACCTGAGTCGCAGTTAAAATACGAGGTTATGGCTAAAATTTCCCGGCCTGGCATAGATGCAGCTCCAGTATCACGATAAAACTTTGTCTTCTTTTACATATGTATCTTAGTAGACTGCGAAAAAAAAATTGAAGCCTTGCGTCAAATAGTTTTTTATTGACAGCATTTTAAACAAGACATGTCCGAAAAAATGTCGCACATAACGCAAATTGAATATAGAGCAGTCATAAAGTTTTTGACAAAAGAAGGGTTTGCACCTAAAATTATTAAAGAAAGGCTGGATAGTGTGTACGACCAAAGTTCTGTTTCGTATTCTGCAGTGAAAGAATGAGCAAAACGTTTTGGAATGGCACAGGATTCGCTTGAAGATGATTCAAGAACTGGTAGACTAGTGGAGGTCATAACGGAAGATATTGTTGCGATTGTGGAAGAGGTGCTATTGAGTGATCGACGTTTAAAGGACAAGGAAATCTCAGAAATTACTAAGCTTTCTGATACAAGTGTTCGTCGAATCCTGCACGATCATTTAAATATGCATAAGGTTAGTGCAAGCTGGGTTCCTAAAAACCAAAACAAAAACAACGCCGTGTCGAGCATGCGGAACTCTGTGGGTCGGAACTGAAGCCTGTGACAGAAATTATTGTGACGGGAAATGAAACTATCGTTCTCTATCGAAAAAAGAATCAATGGAGTGGCGTCGTAAGTGTGAAGCACCTCCAAGAAAATGCAGGGTCTGCCAGTCAACAAAAAAGGTGATGGCCACGATCTTTTGGGAATGTGAAGGAATTCTTTTGATAGATTTTAAAGAAACTAATACCACTGTCAATGGTAAATATTACGCAATATTATTACATAAATTGTGAGACTACATACGTGTAAAACCTCGAGGGAAACTGACCAGAGGCGTGCGTCTTTTGCACGATAATGCACCTGTCCATACTGCTGGTGTTGCACAAGCTGCCATTTTATAGTGTGGGTTTCAACAGATAGATCATCCTCCCTATAGTTCAGATCTAGCCCCCAGCGAAGTTGAGTTTTAGCTCATTTTGCAGACAAACCAAAAGAATATTTTTTTAAATTGCTGGAGTTGTTAATAAAGAGATGTAATGGGTGTATTGAAGTTAAGGGAGATTATATTGAAAAATAATAAAAAAAATTTACTCTAATTTGTTTCTTTCATATTCATGCCTGGAAATTTTGGAGCTGCCCTCGTAATGTGGTTGTTTAGGTATTTCTGGATTCACTGGTTTTTTCTTTGCTAGAAAAGGACTTATGTTTGGGTTTTCAGTAACTGTTAACAAAACTGCTACTTGATTTTCCTCATTTGTAGCCGGTTTTGTTCTATTCTTGCTTTTTACAGTGCACACTCCCTGTCTCGAGAAAAACCTCGAGCAATCTAATAAAGCTTAGGGAATCTGGATGACGCCTTGCCGGAAACGGAGTCGCGTAAATTCTACTATCCAGTAAATATTGTTTATCGCAAATACCATGTCAGTTAACTCCTTCATTGAAAAATTGGTTTTAAGAAACTAATATTAAATGAGATAAAAATGATTACAA